GCAACGGTAAATATCTGATTATTCAGATCGCAATTAGGAGACTTTATTACGTATATATATGTGGATTTCACAATAATTTTTTCTTTGGGGGAAGGAGGAAGGGGGGATTTTTGAAGTGGTATTGAGTCTAATGATATTGAGTTCGTTTTTTGGAGTGATCTCGGATTAGAGCAAAAATTATTGTGAAGAATTCGCCGAATTGAAATCTTTTATGTGGGATTTATTCATTGAACTGGTGAAACTGTATAGTTTGTATGGTATTTCAATGAAATGGGTTTATTTGTGGAGAGAACATCCATTTGAGAGAGCTAGCTATCGGAAATTGCTTATGTAAAGTTAGTAATGTTGATTTCAGGTGCCAATAGACGATGTATTCAAATGGTCACCAATAGTTTGGCTGATTGGTGTGCTAATATGTTGTTTATTATTGAATTTCTTGTGCTTTTGTAGGAAATTATACAAAAGAAGACAACTCGCACGACTGAGACGACAGGTATACATTTATTACGTGTTGACTATCAATAACTTTATAGTTTCTCGTCAAGATTTTTTGACACTTCTTTTTATACTCCTCGGATGAGTATTTGTTGTTTATTGGAACAACCGTGTTCGATTGATTCTTAAAGAGTATTTGTGTGACGAACTGGTGAGTAGCTCGTCACACAAATACTCTTTAAGGTAATTTTGTAATAAAAGTATCGAATCTTGTGAGGGAACTGGTGAGTTCTCATAAAAATCTTTTAGAAATCGATTGTAACTTCTTGAATGACATTCATCCACCATACAGTTGCAAGTGAACTTTCACTCGAAACTAAATGCTTATTTCCTAAACTACAGCCGACTTTTTGGAATGATTACTTTTGTCAAGAATAAACTTCATTGAATCATATTTTTTGATCGTATGTTCACTCGCAAGAGATTGGCATGGGTGGATAAGTTGTGATATATTTCAGCAAGAATTGCTTTTATCCCTGAATTTGGCTACCTCATTTCCTTGCTTAGCACCACCGCCACATGACGCACAATGTTGTGGTGGAAATCGTTTGTTATGGCCGAACTTTAGACGAACCAGTACCACATCACTGCCCTCATACACACAAGCACTTAGGACGAGTGTGCCTCTGGTTAGTGAACTCTATTCACCTTTGATCCTCTCTTTGATCAGTTGCTGGCAGTTGTCTTTAGGATTCGACAAGCTCTCATTATGTGCCACTCGATTCATGATACAAGTATAAAGTAGAACTGAACAAATTTTATTATTTTATCATGTTGTATCATTCGTCTATGATTTCATACTGTTACACTAGTTGCATAGAAATCAGGAGACCAACTTTATGAAAACTGACTTTTTTGGACAGCAGCAATTCTGACCACATATTTCTTCTGATGCAATGCAGTCAGCTCTTTCAAAAGCTCATGAAAACGTTATTTTTTGCTGATCCACAGCAAATACTTCAAGATGGGGAATCCTCAATTGCGGTTGAGGAAATTTGCATCGGAATGAAAATTGAACGCAATTTCAGAAGGACTCAATGGCAGAGCTGAGAAATGCAGAAGAGGCGAATGCACCGTCAGCAAATCAGATAGAGGACGATAAACCTCCACCACCGTATGATGAGGCGTTGAAAATGTTGCGGAACAAGTAGACGCTTCTTTGCCGAAGCTTGCATTGCACTAGTTTTACTCGATTACTTTATCGTTTGCTTGGAGGAGTGGGATTTCCTGATGACAGCTACTGCGTTTCATTGAGCAAAAGCCAATCAGGTGTGAATATTACAATTTTACGAAGAACGGATACAATCACGAAAATACGCCGTGTCGATCATACTGTGAAAGTGTAGAGCAAACGAAAATCCGTGTTAGATTTAATCAAGAGGAATTCTAAGAAAACAGCAAAAGGATACAATTGTTTTCGAAGAAATTCAGTGCATGCATACGATGGAATCTCCCTCTAATGTGCATCTATCATTGTGGATATGATGCAACTCATAGTGGATATCAGCACGAAATTCGTGCTGAAATTCTTGAAGACTGAAATTCACTTATAATTAGACAGACAACCTACTGATGCATTCGCCTATAGCTGAATAATCTCGTTTCGTTATTTGCATCACCTAGCACGTAGAAGTTATGAGATGTGATACGATGATATTTAACATCGTGAATCAAATTTCCGCTAACAGTGTACATATTGTAAACCCAATTACCTCATCAACTACTCAGTCCACTGTTCCGTAAGAATGAACGATGTGATATGGCTGCATTGAACATGCACGATGCCTTCCTTGTGTATATTCACTTTATCCACTGATTAAGGATTATCTGTGATTGATTATTGCCTTTTTTTAAGTATTTTGTTGATGAATTTGTGTTATGCTGATGTGTGAGTTTATGATTAATGATTCATTTGGTCATTGTATAGATTTTTACATATTGAATATTACAATTTTATTCTGCAACAGTGATGATTATGGTGAGATATAATCAGACGATGTTGCATTACAAACAAACTATACTGTTTTTATTTGATGCGAATTACACGCTAATATAGACCACTACACGAACGAACGAACACAAAACACATACAACTCAACCATCAATATCACTGAGAGTTTCGATGATGAATGCTGCTAGAATATGCGAATTTTTGATGGTGAGGAGAAATGACCGAAGAAGTGATAGCGAAATGTATGAGGAGATTTTCACTGGGTACGAAGCGGTACATTTGGAGCACTTCAACAATTCGGGAGAGTAGCACTTTGCTGCTATCAGTGGACAGCTTTTTCGGATTGACTTCGCCACATCCTCGATATCGGACTGTACCGAGTAGCAATAGGAGAGAGGATTTGAACAAGCGCTGCTGCTCTCTTCAGTTCGGAAACTCAATGTTCGGTATTATACGGTGAACAATACACTCCTCAATAAACGACTTCATTACGTTGAGCCATCCTTCGGAATTATGTTCGCTTAATCGATTACCATTTGAATAGAATGCAACTCAAACGATAAATGCAATATCTGAACGTGATGGGATGGATTTCAACGATAAGATCAACAATAAGATAATATATTAAGATGATCACGAACAATAGGCAAACAACAATAATGATAACAATGACACTGACGGTGACAACAATCAAAATAATAACATCTATCTGCAATTTCTGTGACGATGAAAATGCTATCAATAATTCTAGTGATTAGACAAGTGAGAAAACACATTATTCAATTCGAAGTTTAAGATTATCTGGGACAAAAATGCAGGGCGTTTAACCGAACGAACGCAATGAAACATCGGTGTAAAGATTTAACGGTTCAATAATAACGCGATCTGCTCGGGATTGCTGACAGAATTCTAACAACAGCGATACTTACAAAAGACAGCAAGAACGATAATCATAATGGAAGTATCACGCGAAAGACCACGTCTAAACTCTGCACAACCGAACAATACTCCGAACAAACAAAAACAATAATCATTACAACAAAAATGATTATAATAATGATACGTTTACCACAATTAATGTAAAGCACAACACATCTAATAAAACCATTTCACGGAATGTCAGTTGGCCGATGAAACAGAACTGAGCTGACAGACGATATCTAGGAATTGTTGAAAAATCAACACAAATGAAAATACTAAAAACAAAATACTAAGTTGAAACAAAAAAATTACGATAATAACAGCGATTATAGTGACCGTAAACACAATAATACTTATTCTTATTGGTAACAATAATAATAACAGTAATAGGGCTAATTTTAAAGACACGTTGAGAATAGTATCGATGATTAGATCTGATTAGGGGAATGATGCGAGAGGATGAAATTAATTCTGTTTTTTAGCACTTCTTTCACAGCGATATTTACTCTTGCCACCTCCGATTACATACGAACGCAAAAAGAAGTTGATGAAAAGAATCAAGTACGTGCCATCCATGAAAAGTGCCAATGCAAATATGTGACTGTCGAAATCACATTCCACCTGAAATATTACCATTAACTATTTCGACTGTCGAAATAAAAAAATACTGACGATCGCTCGAAATCAACTGACGAATTCACCGCAACGAATTATTGCATGACCAATTATTCGCGCTGACTCGTTCATCAAAAAAAATTTGAAAAATGAACCCATTCAACGTAACTATCAGTTCCAGTATTATGATTGCACAGTTGAAAATTCTCAATGAAAAAGCAGAAAGTTAATCAATAATGAACTTTTTACATTGTCAACACATTATATTCTCATGAAGAATGTACTTCTTCTCGAAAGAAAAATGAAACGAATTCGACGAATAAAATGACTCACGTTCTGAATGTAGATCAACACTCCAAGATGTAAGAGAATTCCGAGACTGATGGCAAATTGCAAAATCTGCAGGGTCGTGATAAACTCGGCGACTACACCGGGGACACGGATTTTCAGTGAACGAGTGAAGTAGTAACTGAAAGTTTACGGAACTGGTTGTTAGAATTCAATTCACCTATCATCATTGGAAGATAAAAATGAAATTGACGAAGCAACTGAAAATTACACAAATAATTTGCAATACGTTTATTATTATATTCATGAACTACTGATCCCAATTGTTGATTATTCTTCAATTATGCAGAACAAAAAATTAAATAAATTTTACAATTTGATGCGAAAATTGCTTAAGAAATATTTAAAAAACGATCAAATGAAGAGAAGAGACAAACTTTCACTCACCTATACATGAAAGCGTGTACGAAGAAATTGAGATTAACACCCCATCGATTGAAACCTGGCGTTGTGGGATAGGAATAGAATGCGTAAATCAGCGTTAGAATATGATGATACCAGTGCACGAACATCAACGGTTTCTTTCTCAACACCAAGAACACCGTATCGCCCATTTCGAACACTTTCGACAGAATGAACATCCAACCCCAGAAACCGTTCGTTCCACTGGTGAAGTTGTAACGTTTACAATAGGAATCTGAAAAGGAAATTGCAAAGCATTCACTCGCTCGCAAGAAATCGACAAACTAATATAATCATGAACTCATTCAAGCACTATGTTAGAGATGCGTTAACGTGAAGTTAATATGCAACAACGAAATGCTAGCATAGATTCCATATTTATTCTGTCATAGTTATGAATGATTGAAACTATCAACGAACAAACTTTGGAAGCCTTTCGTCTGGATAGTGGAAAAGAATTCCGGCAGAAGCATAAGTGTTCCGGCAATACTGAACGCGGCCAGGAAAGCATTCCAAACATTCAGCGGGAAGAACAGCTCGAACGGCTGACGATTTTTCATGAAATATTTAGTGCCGAATATCACGACCACATACAGGACACATACCTGAAACAAAAATTCCATCTTTCAAATGACACTCATGATTCATGAAGAATAACAAAAGAAGTTTTCTATTTTCCGAACACACAAGAAAAATAAAGGAAATGAAGCAAATTCTTCGAGAAAAACGGGAAAAAATAGAAGGAGATGACGAACTTGAAGCACGAAAAGTTGATGATCAGTCACCCAATCTTTGGAGGCTTGTTCCGGGAATTCAGGTGCTCTGATGATACTAATGAGACGCTCCATATCAAATTTTGGAGGCACCAACACCTGTTCAGCTGTTAACGACATTTTGCCTCTGAAAAGAATTTCTAAAAAAAACTCCAAATTCCGAGAAAAATCAAATGAAATAAAACAAGATTAGAAGATAGTGCAAATAAAAAGTAGCGATCGATGGTGACGGAAACCTGGAACATGTGATCCAAATCGAAAATTTCGAATCTTTATGTAAAAATTCAGAAAGCGTTTTCGAGATTATATCAAATAAACGAAAAATGTAAAATATTGATCAGTTGAATCAGTATGATTCAACAATTTAGAGGAGGGATAAGTTTCGCAACACGTTACGAAGATACACATATTCGTACGCTATTTGCTATTTCCGCATCAGTATGACACTAAGTCGCTTTCAGTTTAAACTGTTCAATAAACGAACAACTGAATAATACAACGAGTTTAGCGATAAAATTGATAAATGTTATTAAAGTAATTCTAAATCATTGCTCGTTGATGGTAAAACTGAGTTGACGTGAAGACGAAGCAACGAAATTGTAATAATTAAATCGACCACTGCCTCGGTATTGAATAATCCGAAACGCAACCGAACCGTGCGTTCGTTTCAAACGCTTATATTTAAGCCCATCAGAACGTTTAGGTATGTTCTTAATGCATATTCTGCTTTGCATTATTGTTCGTTCACTTTTGCATTATTCATACGTCAGCACCATTGAGTAGAGAATGAATGCTGAGAAGTGCGATGTTGCATCCTGCTAAGTACATTACCACTTTATGCGCGCTCTATTACATGGACAGCTGCTGCTAGCACATACTCTTCACTCATGCAACTGTCAGTTAGTTATGTTCGAAAGTCGCATTTCTATTCTGAGTTTAGAGTGTGTGAGAATTCTTCGAACTAATTGAAAATTGCACATAGTCGTCTAAACTCTTTCGTTGACAATTTAAAAGAGCTCTCCTTTAAGTCGGCTTACAAACACGCAGTCAAGTCTTTATCGTCAACACCTTAAGACTTCAACAGCTTAACGAAAAGACCCTGAAAAGTCCGAGTGTGGCTTAACAGTAGTTTTTTCTGGAATGGAACTTGTGGAATATCGTTGATTCATAGAACATGTGAAATGATCTACAATTAAATGTCATCATTCTAACCGAACAATTGATGTTTTAATAAAATTTGGTAAAGAAACATCCGAATGAAGCGATAAACACTCAAGAAATCGCATAATTGAGTGAATAATTTTGAAGAAGATAAATTTTTGGGGATGATAACGACGAAGAAAATAGCAACAAGTAAAGAACGCACACACCCAGCCAACATAAAAATGATTCAGTGACAAAAATAAAAATGTTTTCTTAAGACATCACACACATAAATGTACACAAACGTTACAACAATGATTGATATGTTGCTTTGTACTTTAGCAAGAAACGGAAATTTAGTCGTTCAATCGATGAATTAATTTATTTTACTCTCGAAATCAAACGGATTTCACGGCCATAATTCGGATCATAGCATTAATATCGCTTCAGAATTTGATGAACTTATGATAGTAATTGAGGTGGAAGAAACGAAGAATTCTATAAGCACTATTCGCTTTTGAATGTTAGCAATGAAAAGTGAATTTCCATTGAAAGCTTAAAAGTATCACTGAAATGAATGGATCAAATGGTAATCTAAAAGTTCAAAAATCAGTGATCAATGCATTGAAACAAGCAATACTGATTCTGAGCACTTCAGATGCGCTTTTTCAGGAACAATGACGAGCTTCAGTAAGGAATCGAACGAATGACAGGAGCAATCGAATTCGAATAGTGCTGAAACTCGAATGCCACTTGAACTTTCCCTGAAACTGGAAAACGCCAACCATCTCAGTAGTGACACTGAATAAATAAAGAAAAGATCTTCCACGGAAAACTTTTGAAACACTGGAAAATTTCCATTCCGTTATAAACTCATTCAAAGCAATCGGGTAATTCGAAAGAGCGGACACAACAACGGAATGCTGATTGCTTGCGTTTCTAACTATAGTTGAACTCAAGTTGCCAACTATGACTGCTGAAGCAAATGAAAATTTGAATACAAATACTGGTAACAGAGTATGGAACGCAAAAATTGTGAAGCAGAAATGCGGCAGCAGTGATCGTCTTAATAATGACAATATTTCAAACGATAAGCGAATGGAGTCCGCTCCATTAAATTCTATTGCTCCCAAATCAAATTCCATCAATCAACCAAATTTTTTCTCAATAAGTCGTTTCGTTTCGAATCAATTATCATTTAGCACGATTGATTGGCATGATAAGCATGCCGTCGTCACGCCACCCGGACTCGGCAATCTCATTATCAATGTAGATGATATTTTGTAATCTTGAGAAACATATTTCCTTGAGAAGATTCTCTTCTGTGCCGATTATGAATTTCGNAATCCTTGCACTGAGCAACTAAATTTCCACAGATAATACTTCAAAAAATGTCCATTCATTATTTTACACAATGCCTATGTTCACCTAGTGCATCAGGTAGAGCAACGCAACAAATACTCCTCAGATGCTTAGCATCAGTATATATTGATAAGTTGCGTGAAACTGAGTACAGGTAACTTGAAAATAGTACTTCTGACATTCTTATAAGCATGCAAGGATTGACTGAAATTAAGAGCAGATGTACAGATTGTAGTGGTGTAATGAACTCGAGCAACAGGATCACATAAACACGAATGTTCAACTATTTCTTTGGACAAATGAAGTAAGTTAGCAACATAGATGCTTTTCACGATCTAGAGGACCTTCTGAATCCGAATATGTGGAACACTTGGCGTGTCTGATAAAACCTGAGGACGTAGTGAGTTTGAAAATGGTATAACTGATGTGTGACGAGTGAAGCGATAGAATAATGATGCTCAATTGGTTAATATGAGAGTGGAAATTCAGTTCCATCACTGAAACTGTACATAATTAATCGATAACATATACTTTTTCCAGAAACTAGAGCATCTTTTGAATAGGAATGTGTGAAGATCTCGGATGTTCCTATTCAATATTGAGGATAGACCTAGTCTGAAATGGTCCGACTGATATTCCTGCATTAAGGCATTGAATGCTCTTCACTGTGATCAAATGAACAGATTGCGGCGATGAAATGAAATTTTTCATATACATAGCATTAGCTATACCTCTGAAAGCATGCAGAATCAGTCATATAGACACTCTCGAAGGCAGAGATTCTACTGAATCCCATTGCGTTAGAAAGTTGAGTGTTTCTGAACAAACCTGAGGACACAGGAAAATTGTATTTTCGAGATGCATCGAGTGATGCGGCGGAATGAAATCATTCAACTATACAAAACAGCTTGGATGTTCATCTTTATCATTGAAAATTTGAAGTATAGATCGAGAACATATCTTTTTGGGATACCAGAGGATCTCTTGGATCTGAATATGTTACTACTCAAGTTTTCCTGCTCAAACCTGAGGAAGCAGCTAGTAGAAATCGTACTGTCTATATTCGTGTAGTAATGCATCAACTGATCAACGGCATGACCAATTTATTGATCATGCGGACGTAGTGAAATCTCATAGAGATGTGATATACCCTCAGAAATTCAACAAAAGTATTCATCAGTAAATCTACGCATAATTAGTCCATGAGATATACATTTTATGAAAGCAGGAGATATTTTGAATCCGAAAGTGTGAAAATTTCGATTGTTGCTTGGTAAACATGAGAGGGCGTCTAGTTTGAATGCGGCACTACTGATTGATCCCGTTTTGTGCATGAAACAAACGAACTGATACTGCATCCATTCTCTCAGAAAGTGATAAATTACAACAAATTCAAATGATTTGTGGTTTTGTGTGTCTCACAAATGTATGCCATCGTTTATACAATGTAAAAATAACGATGCCCTAAATTGAATCGAAATTGCAAATGTAAAGATCTCATCGCAGCTTTGGTCTTTCCACCGAAGGTTCAATCCAACTACAAGTCCTTCCAAAATGCACTCAGCTCTATTACTGTTCGCCTTAATCTCAGGTATTTTTAATTACTATTATCATTTCGGTATTTTATAAGTCTTCAATTTATTATTCCTATTACAATTGAACATTTTGAGCCAGTGGCACTTCTGATACTTGTTGTATTGCATATACTTTAATTCTGATAATAGTCACTCGTTTATATTTATATTTTGATGGGTCGTTTTCATTGTGTCATTGTTATCATCAACACTATTATTCAAATGAGTGTGATTATTTTTCCGGGACTTTTGTTAGCTTCATTATTATTATTATTATTATTGTGATCTTACTACAAGCGTACTCTAACGCTATGATCGGGATCGACAATGTACTTTATGATAAGTACTGTGTTAATGCTAACTACCTAGGTCACTTTATGCAGTTCCAATCGACAATTGCTTACAACAATTTCGGTTATTCTGCTCTTTATCAAGTCATATTATTCAATAGCAGTTGCTGCACTGGTAGTCAGAATATCGCATTGTGTGGATTTCGTTGACAGATAACATCGACAAGTTAAACCGAAACGACATTCAAATGGATTTACTTATATGGGGCAATACTAAATGCGTAAAACATGAGTTAAAAGAATGATTGTTGCATAAGATCAGTTGAATCGAATAAAATAGATCATATCACAACATCACGTCGAACAGGAAAAGAGATGATGATTATCAATGAGGTGATCTGAATTTTGAAACGGAGAAGAATAAAGTGATTAATTAAGCGATTGTTCGATCGTTAAACAATTTCGAATAATTTATGAGAATTTTGACTGCGAATTTTAAGAATACGTTACATAATTTATTTGAGTGAAAATTTTTAGTGAAGTTTGCGAAAGATTTTGAATGTTTCGATGCAGTTTGCATTGTCCCTGACGGATCTTTCAAGAACTGCGAAACTATTCGATGAGTTTTAGTGGTTGATTGCGGTGTTGTGCAGCAACGTCATGCGACTTTACCGGTGTGTCCGCCGGGTGCACGACCAATGTACCGTCCTGATGGCGAACCACGCAAGTGCTTACCACATCAGAACAGCCTTTGCATCAATGCTCTACCAGATCAAGTTGGTTCTCATCTGAAACTGACTTCTTTTCTTAGTTGATTTGGGATAATGTTAATACTAGTTGATATTGTTTAATTGAGTTGCTTATTGTTCATTATCTATGGAGTTCTGAACTTATTGTAGGTTAGTTGTCCTCGTCGATTTTTTGACTGTAGTATCATTTTAATCAATCAAGATTTTTATTGTTATATTATCGTTGTGTTACTATCATATTAGCGGTATTCTTGTGGTTACTGATACTACAATGTTATCATCACCTTTACAATCACTATTGTTACCTTGGTGAGTTTGTGACCAGCGANGAAATGTTGTATTGATGAGGTTTTTTGACTGTTAGCAACTTCAGATTCTCATAGATATTTTACAGTTTGTTTATAGGCGATATCGTTTTATTTGAAAATCAGTAAGATGTTCAGTATGAGATGGTTTTTCATATCGCAGCTGTATGAACATTCATATGAAGTCTATGAATTCCGAATGAAATTGTGTTCGATTTTCAGCCGAATGCGGAAACTGTATGCTGTTGGCATAACCTGGTGGATTATTACTGTTGTTTGGACGTGAGGCCAGCAGAATGTCCGAACTACCGTAATGTTACTGTCGTTGTACATAACGCATACCCTCATAACCCTTTCGCACTGCGATCTTATCATTTCAGGTGAATTTATCACGTATGATTGCAATATTTCTCTATGTGAAGGTCAAATTTGATCGAATTTTCAAGCACTTTTTATAAGATTGAGAAGTGTGATTGAGTTTTTTGGATGTTTCATGTTGTTGTCAGTTCATTAGTTTAATCAATGACATGGAACAAAAAGAACTGCTGATATATTTTAATGGAAGGTTTTCATCAGAGAAACGCATTTGTTCATTTCAGAGAAGGAATTGAGGATGAACTAGCGTCTTTGGCCGAGAAAGGCTTATTGTCGCGGAATGATCTGCAGAACGAGGACCGAATTTCTGCAAGGCGTAACGCTGACTAGAAGCTGATTCCTTCATTAACTGTTCCATGAAATTCACCACTTCACTGCAATTCTACGCTTAAATTCAAAAAATGATCTATTTTATTGCAGATTATTTTTGTGATTTAAGCATTCAAACTTTTGAATGAACGCAATTAGTAATGTTTATGATACTCATTTCTTTGTTATCATTATGATTCTTATATGATCTGTTTCTGATATAATGTATGATTTAATCATTTTCGAACGTCTGAACATATGAACACAAAAACTCAACAACCGTACAGATATAACAACAAAAACAATACAAAAAATACACCTTGACGGCCAAGTCATCAGAAATTATTTCACTGAATCATAAAATCTATCAAAATGATTCAATGCACAATTCAACTATTGAAAACAATATCAACGTTTTGTTCTAAACCACTATGAAAAACGTTACAAAATAATTATATATCACTGCCTAAGTGCATAAGATATCACAACCAATGCCAAATATTATCGAAATACATTCAACTGAATTGAAATATTGAATCATACATGATCAATCAGATTCAAGCATACCTAAACATTACCACACACCTGCTCAGTGTTAAATTTAGAAACAGCAAAAATATTACCGACAAATAAAACGAAATAAATTCGACTCGAATGATGATGAGAAAAATCAAAGTTATTCACCAACGATATCAACGTGATATTCGATTTCGAGTGCAAATTTAAAACATCAACGGCAAATTAAAAATACTGAAATTATCACGAATAAAATGAGCAACGATCTAATTTATGTCCACATTAAAACACTCAAACATATGGTTTCTCTTCGAGCCATTCTTTGATAATCCGATGAGCAATTGCGCCTTGTGGAGGTATGTATCTGAGCTGTTGAATGACACTCTTTGTTCTGGGCGCAAATTGAAGTTGAGGATCACGTAATGAATTCTCGTAAGCCAACTTCACATCTTCACGACTGAACCATCGAGCACCTTCCAGCTCTTCGGTGCAAACGTCGATCTGAAATCTCAACACATAGCATTGAACGAACACATTATTCCACCCGCAATCAGATTCATTTTGATTCTATGCAAGCATCTGAACACTGAACAATTTCAAAAATATTCCTTTGTGGAACAAAACAGTCATCACATCACCAGCAAAAACAAGAATGCATCAATTCCCGACGGAAATTGGCTGGTTTATTCTACAATTACTGATAACGAAAAAAACACTATCCATTTCAATGATCAGTATTTTATCATCCACAAAAGAATAATGAAATTATCATTCAAATGATTTCAAAAGTCAAACCCATACTCAAAAATACCATCTTATGAAATCCAACCTTTTGCCTCGAGTCGGCAATTGCTCGGAAAGCGCACATCAGTGAACCTTCCGGAATTGGCCACGACTGGGTGGCGCTTATTTGCCAGACTTTATCACATTCTATGCCAACTTCTTCAGCGACTTCACGCCTCGCGCTTTCTTCTAGCGATTCGCCCATCTGAAATACTCAGTCCCCTAAATTTTTAAGTTAATAACCACCTACAAATAACAATATATCTCATGGTAATGACATTTCTTGTGGAATAACTGATCAATAAAAGTACTGAAATCAAAATTAAAAACAGAAACTGTCATGAATTCAAAACAACAAACTTGAGCAAAACCAGCAATTGCTGTGTAGACGGTATTCACAGTTCGTTGATGTCTTATCAGTAAGACATGCGTATTTGCACGATTCGATACTAGACAAATGGCCACTGGAACGAACTGAAAACAGTCTCACTAGCATTCCAATAGACTAATATAAACGATAAAACAAAACTGAACCAGTTGAAAAAAGTCATTAGACTAATGCGAAGTGCAATAAACATACTAATAATAACTCTAATGAGAACATCCAATAATTTTCACTACAAAACCTTAACAATGCCAACAAAAGCAATACCGTTAAAAATCCCAATAATGATAGTAATCATCATTTTAATAATTCAAAAAAGGGCAAGTATTATAACTGACTGTAGGGTAGAATATACGATCACACGTGATACAAGCAGCAGCTGATTTAGAGGCACGCATTTTCAGGGCAGCTCCACACTTTGGACATCTGCGATAGGTTCGTGCCCAACGTGTCAACGAGTACATCTGTTGATAGCAGTCTAATATTATCTCACTGCCAACGAAATTGTTGGAAACAAAAACGAATCATATACTGTTTCAATGCATCAGTTTACACTTCATTTCAGCATCCAAAAATAAATGGATGATTGAAACATAAAGCAATAAGCAACCATAAGGTTCAGTGGCTGCTTTTTAAGTATTCATCAATTTAAACAACACTACTGAAAAGAGGATTCTAGAGAAAAGGATATTCAATGATGTATGCTTAACAAGGCGGAGGAATCTGCTGATATGCTAATCTAAATGAGTTATCGCTATTACGGTTGCAGAAATAAATGACGTTCACTGAAGTGAAAGCAGTATCGTAAAGTAATTACACAACTTTCAGAGCATTCTTCAGTCAATGGTGCATGAAAGCTGCATCATAAATGAATAAATAACTGAACACCACTTGATGCACAATTACGAATAAAAGGACCATAGAAATAACTATACTGAAAAATTATAAATAAAAGTACAATTGTTTTGTAATAACCCTAGCCAGAAGATTTCGATCCGTATCATTCTCCAACGTCAACATTGCCCGTCGTAAGTCTACGAACGACCCGCCAAGCGTTTCAGCCAGTTCACCTCGGACTTTATCGATCGATATTGGGCTGTCATCTGGCATCTCCACTGTCCTCAATGAACTCCCGAATACGGCGATCTGAAATTCTGGATCGACGGGAATGAAAAGGTACTCAGAATAGTCCCCAAATCACAACCGCTTACCATTCCGGACCTGCACGATAAACTGTTTTCGTTCGGTTCTTATCAAACCAAGAATACTGAACGAGAAAAAAGAGAAAATACAGCAAAAATTTCAGTGAACAAAACAAATGAAGTGAAACAGTTTATCGTATAACTCACAAAATCTCCAGTGTTAGTTTGGTCTGCGTCTAGTAATGCGGAATTCGGCAAATCTACTGATAGCCCGTAATCGGCCAGTTTATATTTCATATCTGCAAGTATTATCGCCTTGTGAAAATAAAATGAATGGTCCAAATGAGTGAACTAAAACGTTATCCTGGTGCCTACAGACATCAATCGAAATGAATGTTAATTCAAAGTCGAGAAATTTGAAGGTTTGTGAAATGAAAATTCGACAGATGTAGCAAAGAGTGATTAATGGAAATGGCAAATGAATGAAACACTGCCAAACAAATGACTGAATGGAAACAAAATTAACTGAACCATTATAGTGAAGTATGCAAAGTTTCATAGACTGCTGATCCGGGTTGAATTTCACCAACGGTTTTCTGTCAACCAATAACGCGAATTTACCGACATGAAATTCTGCGGTTACCGCCGCATCGCTTTGAGTCCAATGATCCAAAGTTCGCATCTTTCTGAAAAAATTCTCGGTATGTCTCGGTATTTTCTCGGTGTTTGTTCTCTGAGAATTATCACTTCCAGTCATTCGCATGAGAGCGGTTTTTGATGGATAAAATTGAGAGAACGAAGAAATTGAGAACAATTGAGAAGACGATGAGAATTTGATATTTTCAGGCCTTATACCTGACATAATCGCTGATACTTCTCTTGGCAAATGGAGTGGATAATAGGCGTGATGATAGCGCACCAAAGATGCAAGTTTTCATTAAATTTTCTTGAAATCCGATTATTTCTGCAAACGAAAGCACTCTGGAATATGGAATAACAACAACAGTGCAACAATGAGCTGACAAGATAGCATCCACGAACGCAATCACGAAAATAATGATTGGCCTTAACAACGACTGCAAAACAATTGTCGGTACAATCTAACCATTGGTAACATTTCTGACAAGGGAGCGAACTCGACAAATCAAACCATAGTAAAAAGTAACCATAGATGTTTTACAGATATCACAAATATTCAACAAATACCGGTAAAATGTGCACAAAGGGCTACATCCTTACCAATGGATAAGGCGGTCGTAGTCCGCCAACTGCTGCACTGAAAAGCAAACCAAATTGAAATTGGAAGGTTAAGAAATAAATGCAGTACAGGTTTCTCGGAGAAATAT